AAATTTGTAAATCAATATCCAATAGCAAGTGTTAGAGGGGATGTGAAGAAATTTGGACCCTAATACATTACTTTTGATAATGAAAAATGGTGCAGCTAATGTGGAAAACAGTTTGACAATTGCTCAATAAGTTAAACACAGAATTTTCATATGATACTCAGTGATTTCACTGTTAGGTATATACCCCAAAGTTTGAAAAAAGGCACTAAAACAAACACTTGCAATGTTAATAGCAGCACTATTCACAATAAGCAAAAGATGGAAACAACCCAAATGCCATTCAACAGATGAATGGATAAGCAAATGTGGTATTCCATACAATGGAATATTATTCAGCCATGAAAAGGAATGGAGTATTGATACATGCTACAATGTAGATTAATATTATTAAATATTACACAAAGTTAAAAAATCCAGACAAAATACTACATACTACATAATTCCATTTGCATGAAATATCCAGAACAGGTAAATCCATAAACACAGAAAGCAGATTAGTGGTTTCCAGGACCTGGGAAGAGGGGATGACAGACAGTGACTGCCTATTGGGTATGGGGTTTCCTTTTGGGATGACAAAAATATTGTGGAAGTAGATAGAGGTGATGAAACACACCATGAAAGTACTAAATGCTAATGAGTTACACACTTGAAATGGTTATTTTAATGTGAATTTCATCTCAATAAAAATATACTATGAATTATGGGAGTCAGATTGCTTGCCATCAGAGAAAGGAGCTACAAATGTGGAAAGCAGAAAACAGTATAAACTGAAGTTGGAAGTATCTGTGTAAAATTATGGTTAACATTACATACAGAGAGAGAAAAAAATAAATATAGATTGAATGTGTTAATGCACGTTTATACATACACATACACACACACGTGTGTGTATGTGTGGGTATATACATAGCAATGAGCACACTTAGCACCTGATACTGACTTCTAAATACCATTCTCTACTAAAAGCAACCAGGACTGTTTAGAGAAATAGTTGATTCCAGACCAGAAGCAGAGAAAGTAAGCAGGAACATTTCATTTTGCCAGAAAGCAAGGAAGTGGTAAAAGAGTAAAAAGAATACAGAAGTCAGCTTGAAGAGACTCCTGCTGGCAAAATCTGGAACACATTGCATATCAAAACAAATAATAATAATAATGGATTATAACTCAATGACCACAATAGAAAAACATTAACTTGTAGAGATTCAAATAAATATATGAGTAAACTGAAAGTTTGGTAAGGAACCGTATAGTCACAAGGTACTTTCTCACAAAGCATTTATAAATATCCAAGGGAAAATGAGTAACTTAAAGGATGAGAAGCCTAACAAACACTTCTTTAGTCAAATAATCAAAGTGGTGGGGCATCAGTAATGGCACAAAGAAAAATCATGCATACCTCATAGAATACAAGGAGAGGAACACAGATTGATTTCTGTGATGCCTCTGACAGAGATGCATCACCCAAAAATAATCATCAAGAAATAGAAGACAGACCTAAACTGAGGGACATTCTGCAAAATAACTGATCTGTAATCTTTGAAAGTGCTAAGTTTAGGCACAGTGGCTCATACCTGTAATCCCAGCACTTTAGGAGGATGAGGTGGAAGGATTGCTTAAGGTCAGGAGATCAAAACCAGCCTGGGCAATATAGCAAGACCTTGTCTCTAAAAATAAAAAAACTTAGCCAGGCTGGGTGGTGTACCCCTGTAGTCCCAGCGACTCGGTGGTGAGATGTGATAGTACCACTGTACTCTAGCCTAGACAACAGAGTGAAACCCTGACTCAAAAAAGAATGAAAGAAGAAGAGAAAGAAAAGAAGGGAGAGAGGGAGGAAGGAAAGAAGGAAGGAAGGAAGGAAGAGAGAAGAAAGAAAGAAAGAAAGAAAGAAAGAAAGAAAGAAAGAAAGAAAGAAAGAAAGAGAAAACCAAGGTCAACAAACTCAAGGAGAAACTCTTCTAGGGCAAGGGAGTCTAAAGAGACATGAATACTAAATGCAACACATGATTCTGAACTAGATTCCTTTTATGTAAAAGATTGTATTGGGAAATTTGGCCAAACTTGAATAGGGTCTGAAGGTTGGATGCAAGTCATGTATTGATACCATATCAACTTGTATGATTATATGGCAGTATTGCCAGTAAATGTCTATTTAGAAAATGTACATTAAACTATTGAGGAATGGTAGGTGTCAGGTTGTCAAATTATCCTCAAACATTCAGGAAAAGAGTACTTTATGGTATATTTGCAACTTTTATGTAAGTTTGAGATTGTTTTTAAAAAAATTAAAATTAAAGAGCTATGTAAGAGAGTATATTTCTGCCCTCTAGGTAAGAAATAACTTCTTTATTTTATTTTATTTTTTTAGAGTTGGGGTCTTGCTCTGTGGTCCAAGGTGAAGTACAGTGGAGTGATCATGGATCACTGAAGCCTCAAACTTCTGAGTTTGAGTGATCTTCTTGCCTCTCCCTCCAGAATAGCTGGGACTACAGGCGTATGTCCACCATGCCCAGCTAATGTTTTAAACTTTTTGTAGAAGCAGGATCTTGCTATGTTGTCCAGGCTGGTTGTGAATTCCTGATCTCAAGCAGTCCTCTTGCCTTGGCCTGTCAAAATGCTGGGATTACAGGTGTGAGCCATCTTGCTCAGTCAGAAACAACTTCTCCCTGCTCCTCCTCCCTCTCCCCTCTCCCTCTCTCACAGTCCCTCCTCCTCCTCCTCTTCTTCTTCCTCCTCCTCCCCCCCTCCTCCTTCTTCTTCCTCTTCCCCTTCCCTTTCTCCTCCTCCTTCATCTTCAGGTTCTCACTCTGTCACTCAGACTGGAGCGCGGTGGCATGATCATGGCTCTAACAACCTCAACTTCCTGGGCTCAAGCGATCTTTTAATCTCAGCCTCCCGAGTAGCTGGGACTACAGGCACATGCCACCATGTCTCACTAATTTTTTAATTTTTTTGTAGATTCAAGGACTTGTTATGTTGCCCAGACTGGTCTTGAACTCCTGGACTCAAGAAATTCTCCCATCTTGGCCTCTCAAAGTGATAAGATTATAAGAATGAGTCACCCCATCCGATTAGAAACAACTTCTTAAAATTAGATCCCAATAAGATTTTATACTAAAATAAAAGATTGACATAGCCGATTACATTAAAATTAACATCACAGATAGAGAAGACAAACTACAAACTTGGAAAAGATATTGTAATAAATATTACTGACAATAGATCAGTAATCAAAATATATAAGGACTCCTCCCTCCATCAATTAGAAAAAGTCAATAGAAAAATTAAAAACATTCATGAAAAATCTGGATGCAATACAAATATGAAAAACTTGGATAACAGAGAAATGCAAATTAACACTACAGTGAAACATTTTTTACTTACTATATTGGGAAAACTTATGAAGCCCCACAATATCTATTGTTAGAAGAATGTGACTCAATTGCCTACACAGTTGATGAACATGTAGTTTGGTACTACAACTTTGAAATAACAATTTGGGCACTATTTTGTGAAGTTAAATTTTTGAAGACCCCATGACTTGGCAATTTCACTTACAGGTTCATGTACCAGAGCTCTTTATCATAGCAACTAGAGATAAGTAGAGGAATATTCAAAATAGCACTCTTTGCAATAGCAATGAAACTGGAAACAACCCAAATATTATTCTCACAATGAACTATTACACAGCAGTGCAAATGAATCAACTACAGTCAAACAACGATATTAGAGCTTAGTCACATAATGTTGAGTGAAAAAAACCAAATCCAGAGCATTATATACAAATACAATATATATTTTATAAAGCTCCAAAGTAACAAAACAAAACATTATACTATTTATGGAAAATGTGATAAAGCTATTTTATGCAAGCAATGGAATGACAAACACAAAATCAAAAGAGTATTTTCCTCTGGACAGGAACCAGGATGGATGCAATGGAAAGAACATAAGTGAATGCAAGTTATTGTGTAACTTCTGGTTCTTGAATGTAGTGTAGTGTACACACTACATTGGGTATAAAAGTTTTATAATTGACACATATTTTACACATAATCTTTTATCTGCAGCAGTTAGTATATTATATTAAAATGTAAATAGGAAAAGTATGAATATTCATAATAGTTTCATATTTGAAAATAAAATAAAATTATTTTTAAAAACCTGGTAGATGACATATAGGTATATGGCTTTTTTATTCGATATTTTGATTTGATTCTTATAACAAACCTGGAAGGTTTGGGAGGGCAGATATTAATTTAAGCAATATTGGTGAGGAAGACACCATGAAGCCAAGAGAGGCTAGGGGGCTCATCTGAGGTCCTCTAATTTAGAGCTTATTTTTTGAGCTGGAGTCTCACTCTGTCCACCCCAGATTGATGCAATGGTTCACTCACAACTGCTACATCCTTGATCTTCTGGGCTCAGGTGATCCTTCTGCCTTCCGAGTAGCTGGAACTACAGGTGCGTACCACCATGACCAGCTAATTTTTCTTATTTACTGTAGCTCACCAAGTTGCCTGTGCTTGCCTAGAACTCCTGGGCTCAGGCAGTCCTCTCACCTCTGCCTTCCAAAGTTCTGGGATTATAGGGATGAGCCACCACACCAGCCTAATTTAAAGCGTAAGACTCCAAATTCTGTGCTCTTTCCAACAACTCAAACTCACACCAAAAGTGGATATTGGAAAGAGAGGTCAAAATAAAGAAAATATGAATGCTTTCACTGGGAAAATGTTGTTATCATAGAGGAAATTGTCCACCAGGAAAGGGAAAAGGAGGGTGTAATATTCTAGAATCATTGCTGCAGGTGTGTTAGAACTCCTCATCACAAACCACAGTCACTTTTCTTTTTCCTGAAAAAATAAGTTGCTTCTTTTCAACATTCATTCACTGCTGTGATAATTCTTACAAGATATCTGCAAACTATGAAGAGAGCAGATGCAGTACCTCTCTCTTCACTTTAGAAAGGAAAAGCAAAGCCAATGAGAAGTGACCTACCATTGTTACTCTGCTTTCCAAACCAGCCAACACCTCCCTAATCTCTTCACTGCTGCTTGCATCTCCTTATTCCTCAGGGTGTAAATCACAGGGTTGAGCATGGGAGTCATGACCGTGTGGCTGATGGACACAGCCTTGTCCATGGGGAATGGGGTGAAGGGCCGGGCATAGAGGTAAATGCTTGGAATGAAGATCATAGACAGCACAATGACGTGGGTGGTGCAAGTGGAAGCTGCCTTCCTCCTCCCCTCCCCAGGATGGGATCTCAGCATCACCAGAATGACCAAGTAGGAGATCAGAAGCAGAGAGAAACAAATGACATCCAGCATCCCACTGTTGGAGATCATGAGGAACTCCAGGAGGGAGGTGTCAGTGCAGGCAAGTCTCAGCATCTGGGGAACATCGCAGTAGAAATTATCCAAGATGTTGGGGCCACAGAAAGGCAGTGGGAGCATCAGAGCCAGCTGGACAACGGAGTGAACAAAGCCCCCTACCCAGGAAGCCACCACCAGCCCCACACACAGTTGCGTGTTCATGATGGTGACATAGTGGAGGGGCCGGGAGATGGCAATGAGGCGATCATAGGCCATCACCGAGAGGAGGAAGACCAAGGCACCTCCCAGAAAGTGGAAGAAGAAGACCTGGGCCATGCAGCCCTGATAGGAGATGGCCTTGGTCTCATGAAAGAAGTCCACCAGCATCTTTGGGGTAGTGACTGAAGAGAAACAGAGGTCTATGACAGCCAGGTTTTGGAGCAGAAAGTACATGGGTGTGTGGAGCCGGGAGTCAGAGGTCACTGTAACTATCCTGAGTAGGTTTCCCACCACAGTGGTGATGTAAACAAACAGGAACACCAAAAACAGGAAAAGCTGGACCTCCTGAGTTTGTGAGAGCCCTAGAAAAATAAAATCTGATACCCACGTGAGGTTCCTTGATTCCATGGTATCTTCTGAACACACCAAATAAAACGAGCCACAGACTAAGATGCATGAAGTCACTTGCAGCATCAGTGCCCAGGGGCTCAGAGCCAAGTTGTCAGATCCCTACAACCAGCATCCTTATGTGTGCAAACCATGATACCAGATACTGTCTTCTCTCTGAGGAGTTTACAAGTGGGTGTGGGAAAATACATTCATGAAGCATAGGCAACCTGCCTTTCAGTAGCTCATACAGTAGCAGGAAGACATTTGGTGTCAGATATATCTGTAGTGAAACTTCAGGTATTTCATTTCATTGTGATTTGACCACGAGTAACTTAATTTTTCTGAGTGTGTTTGCACCTCTGTAAGGTAGGAATAAAAATACTTTATAGAATCTTCTGAAGGCTTAAGTTAAATGATACATATAAAGTTCCCAGAACAGTGCATGGAATAATCAATGATAATCATTCTCCTCCATTATGTCTCCTAGTCTAAAACATTCCCTCTTCTTTCAGTCTCTAGCCAGTTTTTGTGCCAATCATTTTTTCACATAACATTTAACATGTCATCATGTTAGTGAATCTTTATGTGTCTATATTTTTCCCTCCACAATTCAACTCTAAGTCCAGAGACTTTGATTTGGATCTCACAATTTATTTGTACCCTTCAGTACCCATCCTTGATGATAGTAAATTTCAACCAACATGTCTTGTTTACTTCCAGATGGGTGAATAGCTATTGGGTGTACAAGTCAGTACAAGGATAATGCTGGGCACAGCTGGATACTTGAAACATCCTGCTGCTCCCCTGCCCTCCATTGTAGGTGACCCCTTACTGAGTGAGACAAATGTGGTGTGCATGCTGAGACAAGGGGGAGGGAGGTCATTGGATTAAAAAACAGATGATGAATTTTGTATGAAAGGAACTCTGAGAGTTCTTCCTAATGAAACAGGAATTTTAGATGTTACTGAATCCAAGGGTAGAAGACAAAGGAAGGTGTCAAAAGAGGAGGACTAGAAAAAGACAAAGGGAGATTAAGAGGAAGAGAGATGGAGGAGGAGAGTGAAGGAAGGTGGGAGGAATGAGGAGGTACTGGGGGTGGGGAGAGGAAATGGACGAAAGGTGAAGAAGCAGATGGAGATGATAGGGTGAGGGTCAGTGACCTCCCTTCCCCACCCCCCGTCTTGGTCTCCTCCATCCATCTCCTCCATACTTACAGTGTTAGGGGTCATGCCAATCTCATCTTTCTGCTTCAATTTTCTTCTACCCCAGTATGCCTTCTACACAGTTGTCTGTGAGACCTTTCTGAATTCAGATCTGATCGTGTAACTCCTGTTATATCAGCGTGTCATACAAGGCTGTAAAATATAGCCTCCATATGCCTTTCTAGTCAGTATCCCTGTCACCCAGGAACCGACTGCTGTTTCAATAATTCATAGCTTCTGATATACCACCTATTTGGTTGTTTCCATATCTTTGGCACTAAACATTGCTTCCTGAAGTACCACCACCTTTTTTCACCTTCTTAACCTAGAAGCAGTCCTAGAGATATCATCTTCCCTCTGACTCCTCCTCCCATTTCTTCCATGCAGAATTAATTCTTCATTTCTCTGGGTTCCAATAGCGTGTTACCTCTAATATGTATTTATCATTTTTCCTGCTGACCCTCTTAACTAGATTGTAGATTCAGTAACATATTAGGTCCAACATCCATGACAGCATCTCTGATTTAGTAGCTGAAGAGAAATATTTGCCAACTCAGTGTATTAGCAGGCAATCATGTGACCTTGTTTTCTGTGACTATGTGGAGAATTTTGTGGTGATTTTCCTCATCCTTTATACCATACACTCTTCACATCCTCCCTCAAAGTCATAGGGACAATTCTAAACTTGTTCATCCTTCATACCTGCTATTTTGTGTCATTTGACCTATATGTCCCATTTCTTCTCTTCCTCCCTCTCTACCCATGGTGACCACTGCTTTAGTCTCTATCTCTGTGTATTTGGTTCTTTAAAAAAATTACATATAAAAATTTAGAAATCTAATGTACAACATTAGGGCCAGGTTAATAAAATTGTACTGCATTCGGCATTTTTGTTAAATAAGTAGACTTTAGTTGTTCTTCTCACAAAAAAGTAACTATATGAGATGATAGATCTGTTCATCTGCTTTACTCTAGTCACCGTTTTACCATCTACATTTGTTTCTTATAACATCATATTGCAAACTTCAAATATATACAATAAAATTTCTTTCAAAAAAAAGTCCCAGGGACAATGCTATGATTGACCGTTTTCCCATGTAACCTGAGGCACCTGTTCCAACATCATATCCCCCACCGAATCACTTTCCAAGTCTCCCTCACACCTTAGACTTACTACCATCAAAGCTATGCCCCTTGTCTGTTACTCTCATCATCAAGAAGGTGTTGCACTATCCTGCTATAGTGGATTCATGTGCAGGTGCAGAAACACTGGCCTCTCACTTTTCTTCAGTCCAGAATGGGGCTTCAGCCTTACGTCTTTTTGGACATCTTTGGCTGCAGACTCACTGTTTCCCAGTCTCTGCCCATACCTTACATATACGACCATGAGTGAAACCCTAGGGAACAGGGCTTAGGAAGCAGAGCTGGGCTGATTACTGCTGGGGCCAAGGGAGCTATGGGAGTTGTTAAAAAGTTTCTAAATGTCTCTAAAACACATATTCTTTAAGAGGTCTTCCTTGGGGACCCAATGTCCCAAGGTCTTGAATGTTTTAGAGATTAGTGGAATGTAGGGTTTTCAGGCCACTATCCAAAAGGACGAGAGAGTCTTCAAGAAAGAGATTCTCTGGGAGTTTTAGAAAAATCTATTTCTTAGACTAGTGATTCTTACCCTTGAAATAATTATCCGAAGGGCTTGTTAAATGACAGATTTGTGTGCCCAGCCCAGACTTTATTATTCAGTAAATCAGCAGTAAGATGTAGAATGTGCATTTATAATAAGTTCTCAGATAATGCTGGGGACCAGATATTTAGAACCACAGACTTTCTAGTCAGCACAAGGGACAGTTCCCTCTCCTGGCGTCATAAAGATTTCTTCTTTTTTGACTCAGAGTCTCACTCTGCCACCCAGGCTGGAGTGCAGTGGCATGCTCTTGGCTACTGTAGCCTCAACCTGCTGAGCTCAGGTGATCCTTCTGCCTCAGTCTCCCAGGTAGCTGGAACTGCAGGCGCATGCCACCATACCTGGCTAATTTTTTGATTCATTGTAGAGACAAGGTCTTGCCAAGTTGCCCAGCCTGATCTTGAACCCCTGGGCTCAGGCAATCCTCTCGCCTCAGCCTCCCAAAGTGCTGGGATTATAGGCATGAGCCACCACGCCTGATCTCTCCTTTCATTTATTTATTTTTTTTGAGTTGGAGTCTCACTCTGTCGCCCAGACTGGAGTGCAGTGACC